AGGAAGCTGAAAACAGGAGAATTACTAGAGTCCAGTTTATGTAGTGAGACTCCATAGTCCTGTACTAAATGGGGGGACAGAAAGGCCGCACAGAGAAGTCTTTTAAACCTGTAAACTCGTGTTCCCAAAGTATGAGCAGACGACGGACACAGAGGAGACAAAAGATCAATTAGCCCACAGAAGCCCATTTGCTCTTACTGATAACAAAGAAATGTTAATCTAGAAATAAAATGTCTCTATGATCAAATTTTAAAAAGATGAGCAGGTAACAAGAACTAAAGCTAGCAAGCCCAAGATAGAACAGTTTTCTATCCTGTACAGCCTTCTCTGAGGGTGGCAATCTGCAGCTTCTATGAAACCTGTGTTCCGTGGAAGTGGGCACATTTGTGTCAGTGTGGCCACTGCTTGGATACCTCGTCCACAAGATGTCCAAAATGTCCAAAAGTCAAAAACCCCGAGGCTCTGTGTCAAAACATAGCTAAGGACTTAATGCTGTAGCATCAACAAAGCAGGACTTTCACAGACGAGAAGCTGGACTTTCAGGCCAGGGACACCTGCTGGACACTTAGTGCGAGGGTGCTAGTGGCACGCGGGAAGGTGAGCAAGAGGCACGAAGGTGAGAGCCTACGGCCCCAGGGTCGTCTGGCCCGGATGCTGCCACCTTCTTCGCAGGCCAGGGCGACTCGCATTCAGTGCACCTCCAAGAGACACGGACAGCAAGGGGAAGCAAGCGCGCTGCATCGCCCCTAGTTAGGTCCCGCACGACGCTTCAGGGCCAGCCGCAGCCAGGTCCTCCTACCCGGCCTGCACCATGTCCTAACCTGCCCGTTTCCTTAGGAGCACTTACATCCTGCAGCTTATTAAGTCTACTACTTAAGGAAAGACTCTGAAATCTAGAAAAATATTGTTCACTGCCTTGGTCAAACCATGGCTACTTAAGGTTAAATAGCTACTATAAACTGCAGTCTGTCTACAAAAACAAATGCTAGCGTCCAAGCTTGCCCCGTGCTGTGAAAAGCAAGGTGCACCGTGTAACGAAGGGCGTGACTACTGAAATAGGAGAAACCCACTGGTGAAGAGCTACTGCAGCCCTGGAGCAGACCCGGCACCACGGGGAGCTGGTCAGCAAGAAAGCCATGCTTCGGTCTCACTCAGTCATGGCGCACGGAGACAATTCTTACTTTTACCTGAGGCCTGAGGAAGGATGAAAGTGGGGGCTCTGGACTGGGGACATAGCTCAGTGGCTTAAGTGCCTGCCTGGCAAGCACAGGGATCCAAGTTTGATCCCTGGTACCCCCCTCTCCACAAACACACAAAAGTGTGGGTTCTCTCTCAACCATCCCTGTTCTACAGGAGCACAAGACTCAGGTAAGATTCAACATAGTTGATGTACAAACATAAAACAGTTGATTTTGATATTAATACTAAAAACAAATGGTAGAAGAAAATTTATGGCAGAACCAGGGATTGATTTCAGACCCTTGCACTTGCCAGGCAAGAGCTTATTCTACTGAGCAGAAGAAAATTTAGAAAAATTTGTTCCTTACTTTTGCAGTGCTGGCATTCAAAGTCATGCCTTCACCCTTGCTAGACAAATGCTTTGCCAACCAAGTGCATACCTAGCCCCTATATAATTGTGAGATGAAGAAAAATCTAATTTAAAAAAGAAAGGAAATCCAGAAACAATGAAAATAGCTGTATTTTATTATAAAAATATTGATAAAATAATCACAATCTCCATGCCAGAGGTGACAGAGTTTCCATGCACATTAGAGAAAAAAATCAATAGAAAAAACAGAGACTATGATTAGGGAGCTAAATATTTAAATTCTGAACTCGCCAGGGAAATAAAAATGTAAGACACACTGTCTTAGTTACCTTTTTTTGTTGCTAAGACAAAATGTCTACCCCCTAAAGTGAAAGGAGGAAAGGCTTACTGTAGCTTGCAGTTGGTAGAGGTTTCAGTGTGTACTTGGATGGCTCCCAAGGCAGGGGCGCGGCAGAGGCAGCGGGGAAGAAGCAGAGTCCATGTCAGAGGCAGAAGGCAGCAAGCAGGCAGAAGCAGGAGAAGCAGCAGCAGCCGCAAGCCTCGCTCTCCCTGGTCTCCCCTCCAGGCTACAAACCTCTCAGGTGGGGCGGCTCACGTCCAGGGTGGGGCTTTCACTAGCCACACACACGTTAAACCAATGTAGTTATCTCACAGCTTAATCCCAGTATCACACCCCCCCCATCCAGCCACTGCCCAGAGCCCCACCTGTGAGCACAGGAGTGTGGGGGGACAGGCAGACATACCCCATAGCATACCACCTGTGGCCCCCAAAGACTCAGCACATCCTTTCTTTGCAAAGTGCATTTAGTCCATTGGTAAGAGTTGCCAAAGCCCTAACAGGTTTAGCACTGCTAAGAATTCTAAATCCAAAATTTCCCCTAAGATTCAAGGCAAATTTTTAGCTGTGACCCTGAACAAATGAAAAGAAAGTTAAGTATTTCCAACGTATGCTGGCATGAGAAAAACATTCCTGTTCCATATCAAGGGATGGGAATGTTTATACAAATAGGGGGATGCAAAGGAAGGGGACCAAAGAAAGCCCAAAATCCAGCGGGGAAAACATTGAGTCCTATCATTTTATGTGCAGCACCCCAGGCAAGCTGTGGCAAGCTGTGCGCTCCAAAGGCCTTGGCTGCCTCTGGTCCTGTGGCACGGTCAGTGGTGGTAGCTCTCCAGGGCCAGTTCTGCCCACGCTGCAGCTTTCCTCAGACGATCCACGTTCCTGGCTTCTCCAGCCTTTGGGACCTGCACTGCACCTTTGGCCTCACGCTCAGCTGCACACACTGCCCTTTCAGGAGCCCCTTCCTGGCCTCTCCAGTCTTCATCTGAAACCTGTATGGAAGCCTTTCTGACCGCATAGCTCTTGCATTCTGCACGCACCTAGACTCAGCACCAAAGTCTGCTGCCCTCTTGGTTTAGGGGTCCAAAACCTGGATTGTTGAGCAGTATGAACTAAATTCCAGGGAAATCTTCCCTAGGTCACTGTCATTCTGCAACAGGGTGCTCTAGGACTCTCTTCTTAAAGCAAAGGCCTTTACTTTTGCAACTTTTAGGCTGAAGGGTGGAGGCATGTTGTTTCTTGTGATGGTCTCAAGCAATCTTTTATATTCTGTTCCTTATTAGCAACCAAGTTTCCTTTTGCTCTATCTTTGTAGTCTGCAACTTTACTGGAGCTTTTTCTCAGGCCAAGCACAAAACAACTTAAATCATTCTTTTGGGTTCTTTGCACTTTTTTTGGGGTGGGGGTGGGGGCAGAACCGGGGATTAAACTCAGGCCCTTGCGCTTGCCAGGGAAGCACTTATTCTATTGAGCCATCTCCCCAGCCCTTGGGTTCATTGCTCTTGACCATTAAAATAGATGACTAAAAGCCCCCAACAGTGGCCATTCCACCTCCTCAACATTAGACGGCCTTGAAGTTTATTCCACCAGATTAGTCTGCCACACTTAAATCTCAGCCTTAGGCTACTTCTCTGGACAAGAGCAAAATACAGATTTTCAGCAAGAACGTAACACACATGGTTTGGAGTCCAACAACCAACAGTTCTTTCCAGTTAAAAGCTCTTGACACTGGTCTTTTCCAGCTGCACTGAACTAAACATTTTGACTTTCTAAGCTCCAATCAGAATCTCCTATCAATCTTGGGGACAACCCACTCGGGCCCCCCTCCTGTCCCTCTCTTGGACAGGAGCTTTCTTTCCCTCAATAAATATATTCTGCTCATAAAAAAAAAGAATCTCCCATCAAGTTCTGCTTAGTGTTAGAGGGCTGCTTCTTTAGTCAACACCTCTAAGCCTTTACAAAAACCTCCTGCAAGCCCTTTCCAGAGGCTTCTGAACCACATGGCAAGGAAGTATGACAGCAACAACCCCACTTCTGGTACCAAAATTTGTATCAGTTTTTTTTTTTTTTTTAAATGTATTTAGTACAGGGCCTATAGGGTCTCACTAGTACATTGGACTCATAGTGATTCTTCTGTTTTCAGCCTCCCATGTGCTGGGATTACAGGCATGTACTACCATGCCCAGTCATAGTCGCCATCTCAGTGGGGACCGGGGTCAGGGCTGACAGGGCAAGCTGGAAATTGAATCCTGGCTGCTGTGCTCTGCCTAAGCAGGCACTTTAGTCCACTTAGCTTTCTGGCCAGCCCGGTTTCAGTTACTCTTTTTATTGCCATTACAAAATACCTAACACTCTAAGTTAAGAGAGGAAAGATTTATTTCAGCTCAGTTTGTAGAAGTTACAGTCTATATTCAGCTGGCACCAAGCAGGGTGGCACAGCAGAGGTGAGATACAAAGATGGCATGACTTAAATGGGTTGGAAAGGAGGTGTGAGTAGATCCCAGAAGACTGGGGCAGATGAGCTCTCAGAACCATGTGTGCAGACTTCTTGCAAGAACTTGAGAAGGTCTGTAGTAGAATGACCTGTGTGTGACAACCAGCACTGGAAAAGTGAAGAGACAGATGCCTTCAGAGCTCACTAGCATGCCTTGTCTCCACAATAGCCATCTCTGTACACTACGGTGTGCTTTTCTTTTTCTTTTTCCTTCTTTTCTACTGGCCCAAACTGACTCTGAAGACCCAATTTCTCTACCCTGGTTTTATCTTTCCTACCTCTAATAAATGTGAAACTTTGCCACCCTTTTGCTTCTCTTGTTCAATTCTTTGGTGCAGAAAGAACCTAGAAATCATTCCTAAACAGAGACTCTAGCACCATGGAATCCAGACAGGCACTTCAGAAGAGAAACAGTCCATGGTAAGACAGGAGACAGCAAGCAAGCAAGCAAGCAAGCAAGCTAGCAAGCAGCAGCAGCAAGCAGCAGCAGCAGCAGCAGCAAGCAGCAGCAGCAGCAGCAACAGCAAGCCTCGTTCTCAGTTTTATCCCATCCAGGCTACAAGGCTTTCAGGTAGTGTCACCTACACCAAGGTAGGCTTCCTAGTACCTACTCCCAGATCTATGCTAAACCAATGACTTCATCCCAGTATCGCACACCCCTGCTCCAGGCACCTCCCACAAGCTCCCTCTATGCATGCACAAGGCTTTGGGCAGAGATCTAGACACAAGCCATAACACAAACCAATCACATTTTTCAACTCAGCTTGGCAGAAATGGAAAACCTAAAGTTTCTAATGGAGACAGAAAAATATGAACATTCTCATACACTGCTGTTAAGAGTTTTGAATCGATGCAACTTTTTAGATGATCAATGAGAAATACTTAACATGAAAACTCAGTTTAATAAATCAATGTTTCATGTTGTAGTAAAAAGGTGCTTATATAGGGTTCCTCAATATTTGTATGTGTGGACTCTTCGTGCCAGTGAGAAGATCGAGGAGAAAATGCACTCAAGTGAAGACTAGTGTCTGACCTGTGACTGGCACTGGCCCCTCTGCAGGAGCTCAGGACTGTTCTCTGGCCTGAGGAGGCTCTGTGGGCTCTATGCAGCTGCAAGCTGTGTTGAGACTCAAGCTGTGCCGACAGAGACCCTCCCAGCTGTTACTGTCCTTCTCTAAGTTTGATGGCACCAATCAAACACTTCTGTTAAACAGGGACGTAACACCCATCCTCAGGGTAAGCTGCATCGGGTCGGCATTCTGGCGTGGGCGACACCCATGGGGCACAGCAGGGTCAGCTTTCGCTCTCCCAGCTTGGCTAGCTTCATGCACTTTGGGAGGGAGAACTGAGAGCATAGTAATAAAAGCACACACAGGATAAGACCCAGCCTTTGTGCGCAAGCAGAGGGAAACAGCACTGTCACACTAGCGCTCTATGCACGGACACAAGCGCCGTGCTCGAGTCCAGCCGCACCTACCTGGACAGAGGCGCCATGCTGGGCAGTACAACCGCCTACCACAGAAGTCAGCGAGAACAGCAATTCGGTTTATTTTGGTATAATTTTATGCTTATGGAAACATTGTGAGTGTAGTTCAAAGAACTACTGTTTTTTGGCCCAGAATCACCAATTCTTAGGTTTTACTTCATTTGTAAGCCACATACTCTTTGTTCCTGAACCAACAGAGAGCACTTCATTGACATCTTATCTCTTTATTCATATTTACTTCCCCTGAACGAGGGTTTCAGGGTAATGAACTTTTAAAAAAATCAAAATATAAAATTCACATAAAACCATCAGAACAAATTAAAAAATCCTTATAAGGCAAAACGCTCTGCATTCATGGATAAGGCCCAGAAAACCCTCTCCATTCCTCCCTAGAGAATGTTGTGCCTGCTGTGCTGCTCCCAGATGTGGCCGTAGTGCCTGAGGGGACCCGCAAGGTGTAAGCCATCTTCCTAGTGACACTAAGATACTATGTTACACCTCAAAGCCAAGCATTTCTACACTTGATCTTAGCCAAAAGGCCGAGAAGCAATAAAGCCAAGTATTTCTAAAATAAAGCAAAAGCAGCCAGCTGTGGTGGCGCATGCCTGTAACCAGGAGGCCGACGCAAGGAGACCCCTCAAGGCCAGCCTGAACTGCACATGAGATCCTGTTTGAAAAAAATCGACTGAGTGATGCGAAGACAACGACAGCAACATTTCAGTTATTTCTTTATTATATTGTACAATCTGTGTGGTACAAGAGGAGGAGAAAGCTTCAGATGCAAAGCCTTTGGAAAATTACCTCTTGCAGACGAGACAGCACAGACAACCACGTAAGCCAGTGTGGCTTCCTTGGTCCTCTCTGGGCTGGGGCCCTGCACTCCTCACAGGTAGCGATTTCTGATGTACTCGCGGTACATGGACGTGTCCTCCTTTCCGAGGGGCTGCATAACCCCCTGACTGGCCTGGATGTGGGCCTGGAAGATCTCGGTAGATTTTCTGTCCACTCTCGGGGGCTGAACCTCATAGATGTTGTCTTGTGAGAAAGCTGAGATAGGTGTTCTGTGAGAGAAGCAGGAAGGGGCCGCATTAGAAACCAGTGCAGGACCCAGTGGGCTTGGTCCCCACACACAGGAAACCAGCCAGAGGCAGGAAAAGCCTGCGCAGGTACCTCGTGGGTGGCTCCCCTTGGCCAGGCCTTGTACACCAACAAGGCCCTCGTCTAGTCCTGAACTGCTCCCTCGTCACCCGTGGGGAAGGGACACGCCAATTACAGACCCTGCACTGGCGAGTGAGGACTTTGAGCCTCAACACTTGAGAGCCAGCAGCAGCTGGGCTTAGAGCACCATCCCCTACGGTAAATCCAGACAATCGGCAAACTGTTCTCTTTGTCTTTTTAATTATTCTAGCTACTAAGTTTACATTAAACAAGACAAAGGTAAAGTTGATTAACAGTGTTTGCTAGTAGATCTGGGCTGGAGTGAGGCTTAAGACATTTTCAGTATTTGAAAAATCAGAAAAAGGAGCAGCAGAAAGGGAATTACGAAGAGACTTTGCAGCATCACAAACCAGCCACCTTGGGCCCTTGGTCCTAGAAGGCTTCACGAGCACAGGCCCTGCAGCAGCAGCAGTACCACCAGCAGCAGCAGAACCAGCAGCAGCAGCAGCAGCAGCAGCAGCAGCAGCAGCAGCAGCAGCAGCAGCAGCAGCAGCAAGGCTGGGGACCTGCGAGAGCTGCATGCGCCCACGCCAACCCAGATGTGTCCAGGCAGAAAGCAGAAATAAAGATGGGTAACAGGAAGCAGAGACAGATCCTTCCCAAAGGTGGGGGATTAAGAAATGGTGGAGGAGGCAGGGAGAAAGAAAGGGGAATAACAAAAGAATGAAGATTGCTGTGCACACAAGGAATGCAAACATTGGGTGTCCCCATGTGTTAATAAAAAGAAACAAAGCAAATGAGGACAAAACAAAACCCCAAACATCCAGAAAACAAGTCTTCCAGCTCATCCTGACACCAACTGAAGCACGGCAGCCCCGGCCCAACACGCGTTCAGTAGAGCTGTGAGGGAGGCAGGGAAGCTGCTAAATGAGGTCCCACACGCGGTCAGGACGGTACTGCTGCGTGAGAGCGCACTGTCGACCCTACGCTAGACCAGACTGGCGCAGCTTAACAACCACAAAGGAAGAGCAGAGACACTGGCTTCAGTGTCTTCAGCGGTCTCAGCTTCTCTGCTGACCTACGCGGTCCCCAGTGGGAAAGAAACAGCCGCAGCTAGGACCCACGGGGTTCTGTCTCTGACTGGACAGAGAGGACGGTGAACCCAGCAATAGTTCTGGCATCGAGAGGAAATCCCCATTAGCTTTGACAGCATCGTTTGGGAATGAGAAGGCCAGCACTTCCGCACTGAACGATGCAGAAGCTGTGAGACTGATTTCTTTTATTCATCCCAGCAGAGAGAGCCGGCTGCCACTGCCACTGCATGGACGCAGATACACTGCTTCCACCTTGCTCTTCCCTGGGCAAACAGAAGGAGCATTTTTCACAGCTCCTAAAGGGACCAGACCTGCAACCCCCCATACAATACCAGTGCTATTTTTGGTGATAACATATTACAATTACAACACTGCAAGCTCATTTCTTTTCTTTTCCTGGTACCCAGAACTGAACTCCGGGCCTTGCGCTTGCCAGGCTCATTTCTTTTTATCTACAAAACCTAGGTCTATGTTCAAGGAGAGTACTGTGCTTCAAATGCTGTCTTATTTTGGGTAACATATTTGCCACTTAATTTAGGGACTGCTTGACACACGCTGCTCAGTGACCCTGAGTGCTGATGCCCCAGCCTTAACCACACTTCCACGCATACAAGAAAATTCATCAGACACCAGATAGTTTCAAGGAAATCCGGCACCAGGTATGGTGGTGCACACCTGCACTCGGGAGGCTGAGGCAGGAGGATCACTATGAGTGCAAGGCCAGCCGGGGCTACACGGTGAGCTCCGGCCCAACCTGATCCTACAGAAGACCTCGGCCTGCAAGCTTACTGCATACAGGGATCATCACTGGGTCGTCTCTCCTTATTCCGTTTTCTGAGAGAAACCCACAATGAGGGCAAGACTCTAATTTTGCTCCTCTAAGACATTCTGGTCCTAACGGAGCAGAGCCTCAGCGGGCCTGACAGCATTACTCTGCTGGCTGCTGGTCTTGTAGTTTCTATGAGGATATACCGGCCCCTCTCACCTAACCTGTGAGGGCTTCAGGCCTCACGCACTGCCGTGAAGGATTCGCTCTCTGCCCCGCAATGTCACTCGGTGGCTTCAGCCCTGCGTCTGTGGACGCTGTTCTGTCAACATCCACAACTTCCTCGTTAGACCACCTGTCTCTTTCAAAGAAGGCACTCACTCACTCACACACGGACGTCCAGCCCGCAGCCGTCTGTTCAGGACGATCGCACAGTCAGAATGTGTGTGCCCTTTCCGGTTGGAAAGTGAGCTACTACTGCATGTGACCCACGTTCTGAGAGGCTGTGTGGGGACGGACACCCGCGTCCCGGACAAGCTCTCAGACTACACGGTGCTCAGGAGCCACACATGGAGTAATTAAAATTCAGTGGATTGATAACCAGTGCTTCAGTCACCCTCGCTGCACACCAAGTCCCTGACACTGCACAGGGCGACGTGGGACATTTCCACCACCAGGGAAGTTCTGTCGGACAGCACTGCTCTGTAACGCCTTTCCAGTTCTGTTTTCCCTCAGAAACCTCTGGTACTTCTACCTGGGACCATGTCCCTAAAGCGCATTTCTCACTACCGAGGCCTTTGTGCTTCTAGGCACCTCACGTCTTTCCTGCCAGCATGGGTCATGGCTCTCCCAATCATGTGCTCGGTGACCTTCCTTCATGGGGCCGTCTAGCTAGAAGAGATCAGCCGGTCTCTGCCTCAAGCATCGTGTGCTCAGCTTGTTTCCGGGCTCAGAGCTGCTTCAATCCACCTCCACTCAGGGAGGGCAAGCTCCTGGGAGGAAGCCTCTGCCACCGCCGGCCGCCCTCCAAAGGGTGCGCGTCCAGTACGGTCCAGGCTGCCTTCTCCCCCACGTCCCCCCAAATCTAGTTTTCCCTGAATAAGGTGCCAGGAAGAAATGCTTCAGTACATCTAATACTACCAACTTGCTGAACAGCGTGGATGCTTTTCTTAAAGAGTAATCAAAATCCATGAAGAATGGCATCCGCCCGAGTATTTTCTTAAGGCCTACCACAGCACTTACAATTTTATGACTCCATCTGAGCACCTGGAGCAGGGCTGCTGGCTGCTTCGGTCTCGTTTATGTTGACTTTGCCCCAGCTGTACAAACCTTCAAATCACAGAGGACACAGTGTGTTAGAGAAGGGACACCTGCAATTAGCTCAGGGGCTCACACACAACACTGTGCTCTTCCAAACAAGACAGTCTGATGGTTTGAGCAACGCATGCAGGAGTACTCTACCTACACCGGGCTTGGCGGCACATGCCTGTAATCTCAACTGGGGAGGCTGAGACAGGAACATTGCTGTGAGTTTGAGACCAGCCTGGGGACTACAAAAGTGAGCACAGGGCCAGCCAGAACTGCATAGTTAGACCCTGTCTCAAAAAACAAAACAAAACGAAACGACAAGCCCACCTAGACAAGACTGTCTTCATTTACGAGTTTGACAGAATAAAGGGCCTGGGACTCTGCTAAGCATGTCAGTCAGGCCGTGGATATAGACTGAAGTCACATGCAGACTTTGTTGTACTTCCATTCCCTTAAATATGGTGCAGACCTTTTTAAAAAGGCAAATGTCCTCACAGCAGGCAGATGGCCTTGTAGGGCTTCCCACATCTGCGTGTGATACCATCTAATGCATGGGTGCAGGAAGCACAGGGGAGGGGCTTGAAGAGAAATAAATGCCATGGAAACAGGGAGCCCCGGCTGGAAGCCACCTCCTGAAGCAGGGATCACTGCTGAGAACCTGGGACGTGGGCTCAACTTCTGTAGGACCGTAAGGACCAACCTTGCTCCCAAATACACGCCAGTTCCTCCTCAGGGTGCACGGACCACCAAGATGCTGAGATGGGGGTGCCGGTGACGACACCTCTGCTGCTCTCCCCTCTGCGCAGCACAGACCCAGACCTTAGCCTAAGAGCCCCACAGACTGGCCCCCCTCTGGAGCCCTGCCACGCCACGCGTGTCTGTCCCCCGGGACACGGGTGTGTGCCCATGAGAGGCTTCAGCAAGGGAAAAGGGCAGGCTTCCTTTCTATTTCTCTACTATTTAAGAGGTGCCTCTTTTGATGACTATGGATAATCCACCATGTATCTTTCCTAAGCTTTTTAAAGGCCAAGACAAGTGCCTCCCTCAGAAGCTGCCAATGAAGCTGTCATTACAGCATATTATATCGAACTTTCTTTACTTTCTTGCATACTTTTATATTTAGCAAGACAAAAATTCTAACCCATTTTTTGAGCAGAATATTATAATTTCAATGATTTATACAGACCTTTAAACTTCCCAAATCAAGTATATAATCAGTGTCACAATTTATTTAAAAAATGCTATAGTATACGTGGCTTCAAGGAAGTAAGCAGAACACTTCAGATCTGGTCAGGCTAGCAAAGCAGACACTGGAAAGGTGAGGCAACAGGGAGACATGGACCACAGAGCTTGGCCACCTGAATAAAACCGTGGAACCAAAAAAGGCTCAGGAGCCTGGAGGGAGATGCGGCCCAATGTGGAAAAGCATGGAGCAGCACAGGCAGCTGGCGACAGGTGGGGAGACTGGGAGAAGGCGCGGAGGCCTCGCCCTCCCACAGGTTCCCCAGGGGAACTTCATCTGCGGGTAGCCAGGGCACTAATTTGTCAAAACCTGGGGTCGGGGGCAGGGAGATAGCTCAGTAGAATAAGCACTTGCCCGGCAGGCACAGGGTCCTGAGTTCAATCCCCAGTACTGCAAAAAAAAAAAAAACCAAACAACTGGGGGCAGAGAGGGCCCAGCCCACTTGGAGCAGAACTGCTGGACCACAGGAGGCACTAAGACAGCTCCAGTGCCCAGGAAGCCACCCCTAGCCAACCCAGACGCTGAGGGCAGGGGCTGCCTCTGGCCCGCAGCGATGCCCATCTCAGAGGAGCAGCCTCTAGCTTAGGCCTTGAGCTAGCTTGGGATACAAATCAACATTCCAGATTCCAGCTCTGCAAGCCTACCATCGATGATGTTCTAGGGAGAATCTATTTCCTCCTGGGTGACTCTTCTCATTAAATATACTAATACACTGTTGTAATAACAAATGTTCACATTCTCCCTTCTTAGATCTACATATGCAAGTATCCTACCTTGAATAAATAGAGAAGTCTTCCTCTGAAAGGCCATCTGAGAGGTTAATCCCATATACCTCTTTCATGGGCTGCACCATATTCTGATGTTTAAGAAAAAAGGAACCAGTTAGAAGTTTTAGACATTCAGTATATGAGTAATTTCCAAAGATGAAGAAAATGAGGGCCAGGGAGATGGCTCAGTGGAATAAGCACTTCCCTGGCAAGCACAAGGGCCTGAGTTCAATCCCCAGTTCCGCGCAAAAAAAAAAAAAAAAAAAAAAAAAAAAAGAAGAAGAAAACGAGCTGGGAACTTTTCAACAAAAGCAATCACAATGCTTCTTCAATCTACTCATTGAGCTTCTCAGTGTTTGTTTTTTTAAAATTTTAAAATCTAACTTCATTTCCTTCTAAAACAGTTTAACATTTCTTTAACCTACTCATTAAGCTTCTTGGTGGTATTTATTTTTTTTAATTTTAAAATCTAACTTCAGGGCTGGTGAGATGGCTCAGTGGTCTAAAGCACCTACTTAGAACAAGCTTAGCAAAGCACAGGGACCGCGGTTCAATCCCCAGCCCCACATGCTGGCCAGCCCCGCCCCCTGGTGGGGCTGAGCTGGCTACACACACGCAAATAAATAAATAAATAAAATAAAAGAACATTTAAAAAAAAATCTAACTTCATTTCCTTTAAAACAGTTTAACATTTCTTCAGTCTACTCATTAAGTTCCTTGGTAGTTATTTATTTTTTTAAATTTTAAAATCTAACTTCATTTCTTTCTAAAACAGTTTAGGGTAAAAAAAAAAAAAAAAGCCTGATAAGTAACTGTATAATGCAGGAATCGGAAGAGTTTTCCTACAAAAGGCCAGTGAGTACTTTAGGTGAGCTGGGTTCCGTCCTGTCTATGGTGACCACTCATCTCTTAGAAGCAGCCCTGCAATATGCAGGCGAGCAGGCGGTGTGGCTTCCAACAAAACCTTATTTACAGAGCAGGCGTGGCAGTGCACGCCAGTAAGCCCAGCCCTGGGGAGGCTGAGGCAGAAGGATCACTGGGAGGTCAGGACCAGCCTGGGCTAACAGTGAGCTCAGGCCAGCGAGAGCTGCAGTGGGACCGTGTCTCAAAGACAACACTACCTTATTTACAGACATGAAAGCAGGCTGGACTGGGCTGATCCGTGTGTCAACTTCTTCAACGATGGATGTAGTCTTGTATTTTATTTGCCTTACATATCTCTGACTTTTAGCCATTTCTAGAAAGTAAATTACCCTAAAGCGACTCGTTTCTTTTGTTTTCTTCCATTTGCCTTCCTGGCATCTATTAGCAGTACGGCAGGAACTGCACATTGAACTGAATTCCCTACGTGGCCTATTCAGGGGCTGCCAGAGCTGAGGATGACCCCGCACCCGTGTGCGGAACAAGGGCATGCATGCGGGGAGTCCGGGGAGTGGGGGCTCAGAGCCCAGGGTGCTGGGACAAAGTCGGGGAGGGACGCAGCGCACCATAAAGGAGCAAACCGCGGCCAACCCCCAGCTCGGCCGCCCCGCCGCTCGCTCCCGCACCTCGGGCAGCCTGGCTCCGTCGCCTGCGTCCGTCATCTTCACGGGCGTGGAGCGCTGGGACGCGGGGCCCTCCTCCTCGCGGTCGGTCCCCGAGTCCTCCTCGGAGCTGCTGGACACGGCCTCCTCGCTGGGGGGCGGCGGCGCGCTGGCGGCGGTCTTCCGCTGCAGCACGGCTTCTTCCCGGCTGCTTTTGTTCCTTTGCGGAGACAAAGCGGCAGTGAGGCGCTCCGCTCGCAGCAGCCACCGCACCTGGCGCTCCGCGTGCTCACTCTGCCCCAGCCCGATTGGATCTGGCGACCCCCGACAGCGACCACGCGACAGCTGCTTTCGGCACCCAGGGGGCGGAAGGGGGAGCGGCCCCCTCGCGTGGAGCTGGGCCGGGCAAGATTCAGGGGGCGCCGGGGCCCTGGCAGCCTGCAGCAGTCTTCTCCCTGGCTATGCCTGGCTTCCTTTGGCATCTGAAATCTGCATTTTCAAGTTTTATGCTATAATAACAGAACTACATGCTTGAGATATTAGTAAAATTACCTATACCTTGTAAAACCCTCAAGAAAGGGCCAGGGAGACGGCTCAGTAGAATAAGCGCTTCCCTGGCAAGCGCAGGGGCCTGAGTTCAATCCCCCGTTTGCGGGGAACCCTCAAGAAAAGCTCTGGGGCCAAACCCATGCATGTTCCCTCCCAGGGTGTTCAATGCTTCTCCTGTTTACAGGCCTCCCAAGCGCTGGGATTGCAGGCATGTGCCACCAGGCCCAGGCTCACTGCTGCCTCAGGGAGCCCCGGGGGTGGGGCCAGAATGGCCAGTTCATCCCATGAACTTTTATCACAGCGTACCATGAAACAAACCATCTGAGGAGCCCACAGCGCACTTTATCTGATTTTTATTTTTATTTTTGTACCGGGGATTGAATTGAGGACCTTGTGCTTGCCAGGCAGGTGCTTATGCTGCTTAGCTATCTCCTAGCACAGGGCCTTTTAAAATGTATTGTGCTACTGGTAACCAAGTCCAGTTGCTGCACACCCAGTAACAGAAGGGGTGAGGGTGAAAGATCTCCCCAGGGCTGGGCGTGGTGGTGGACACCTGTAATCCCAGCACTCGGGAAGCTGAGGCAGAAGGATCCCCAGGAGTTCAAGGTCAGTCTGTGCTAACTGGTGAGTCCAAAGCCAGCCTGAGCTGAATGGTGAGATGCTGTCTCCAAAAGCAAATAAACAGGACAGAACACAAAACAGAAAAGTCCCTCTATGTTTACAGAAGAATTTACTTTTGCTTATAGGGTCAAATTTGGGTAAAAATATTGTAGCTTTCTACCTTCAAAAAGTATTATATAGTAATACTTTTTTGCCTTTTATAAAAATATCTAATATTTCATCTTTATTTGAAACAAAATTCTCTTTATGGGACTAAAACATTCTGATATTCTGAAATCTTGTAGGAAAGGGAAAAGCATGGGTTAGATGATGTAGACAAAGATTAGTTTCTGACCTGTTGGAATTAAAAATTAAACTCAGTAGATTTCTGTGCTATATATTTATATAGCTTAACCTTTACTTATTTGTTCTGAGAACCTGAATTCTAAACTTTTGAGAACCTTTCTCCTTTTAAACACCTCTCAGCACCCAGTCAAGGTCTGACACAAAGCTGTGTAAGGGCACACAGGCAGGCCAGAGAGGTGTGTCTGAAATCGGATTCGAGCTACATGTAATTCATACAGTGGTGTCACCACTGAATTATGTGTAGCTTGAATGCAATGAAGACTGCAGGCACGTTTCCAAACATGATCAGGGTTGCGTATCTAAAGTCTGGACAAGGCTCCCATCATCAGGACTGGGCAGGTCGGGGGGACAAAGATTCTTATGTGAAAGAACACATTTCACTCCAGTCCAGAGGCATGCGGATGCAAACACAGTGCATATTCTTAATATTAGCAGATACAAACAACAAGCCCACTAAGTTCTCTATATTTGCTTTTTACATTTCTTAGGGTATCAGCAAAAATCGAATACAATGAGTATAAAATTTCACTTAGTGTTCCATGTTGAGAAACAAAGAATATAGACTTAGTTACAGGATAAAAACAGTATCTGTTACCTATTTAAAATAAAATACGCCGGGGCTGGTGAGATGGCTCAGTGGTCTAAAGCACCTACTTAGAACAAGCTTAGCAAAGCACAGGGACCGCGGTTTAATCCCCCAGCGCCACATGCCAGTCAGCTCCGCCTCCTGGTGGGCTGAGCTGGCCACACACACACACACACACACACACACACACACACAAATAAATAAATTTAAAAAAAAATAAAAAAAAATACGCCATGTTACTGAAATTTCCATACATTTTACTTTTAATAGTGAACACTTCAATCACCAGTGCTATAAATGAATTATCTATACATGTGAAATAAATGCACCGTGCTGCCAGCTACGTGAGTTGAGGCTGTCAGCGCTGGTAGAAGTACCATCGCAAGTGCTCTGCTGTGCACGACTCTTCATGCTTCCATTCTACATGCAAGCCTTACCCCAATACTGATTTTCCAGTTTCATCTGGTTTCCGCACAGTGAACGGACTTGGGTCGATGCCAACAGTCTTGGGCATGACGTCACTAGGAAAGGGTGAAAAAAGAAAATACTGCATGAGTTCCTGTCCACCGGAGACACTGCGTTCCGGCTTCACCTGCACCCGCCACGCTCCTTTCTAATCTTCACATTCTGAGCCCAACAATGGAAGGAGGAGGGAGCCAGGTCACAGCACCAGGAGCTGACGGTGCTATGCGGCCTCTGTTACCAGTCCTCACTGTGAACTGGCTGAGTAAGGGCCCAAACTTTTGAATGCAAGGGTTAGTAAAACAGTGTTGATAATCTGAGCTGTGGCTAAGATATTATCATCTGGTTATATTCTACAATTAGCGGGTAGGTCAAATTAAACTCAGAAAATCTGTGACAGCACTACATTGTTCACTATATAATGTTTTTGTGTATTTGGTTGTTGCAGGGTCTCCACTTGCCTAAGCAGTCCGCTGAGCTATCTCGCCAGCCCAGTATAGACAATGTTTTTAAGCTGTACTACTGAAGGAGACAGACATAATGATCAAAACATGATAGTATGAATTCAATAATCAATATCTACTATTATGTACAGGTAGAAATTCTCTCTAATGTGACCATTATGTGTATCTAAAATGTATCAAAACTATTTTTTAAAAAGCACTACAAAAAAAATCAGTGTCTACTTCACTAACTGAGGTTCATTCATTAAAATACCTCTGGAACACTGCACAGAGCAGATTTCATTTGCCACCGATTAAGACAAGCTAAAGATGTATACACAAGGGCGCCCTCGCCACTGCCTCAGAGGAAGACCAGGTTCCGGCTGCAGTCGGAGGCAGTGGCCCATGAGCCCACCACACTTGGGCCTGGGGAGAGGCCACAACTCCAGCCGGTGCTTGGAGGCTAGGTTATTTGAAGGGAGAGAAACGAATCCTGGGCCTGGTTCGCAGTAGTGCTTTAAGATGTTTCAACGATGTAATTGGCTTAATCCTTTTCTTTCTTTAGAACACACACAATCGACCCACGTCATTTGCAGGTTCTGTGTTTGTCAATTTGCTTGCCTGCGGTGCTGACCGATGTGTGTGGTACTTCGGGTCACTTCCAGGCTTGGACAGGTGAAGGCGGTGACAAGTCTGCGTCAAGGCCTGCACTCCCCACTGAGGGCGAGGAAGGCACGGACGCATGCTGTGCCCTGTCAGCTTTCTCCATCAGAGAAATGCATATCCATCTCAGATGCCACTTACGCATAGGGGCTCGGAATCCTCGCTCTACGTGTAAGTCCTTTACCTGAGGGAGAGCTGGCTATCACTTTCACCCACTCTGGGGTTGGCCTTTCACTCTGTTGATTCCTTTTGCTGCACTAAAGCTTTCTAGTAAGGTGAGATCCCAGCTGCTGATTTTGTTGGTCTGGGTTTTTGTGGAGGACCACCTGAACAGCTGTTCTTGAAAGAAAAGTGATTGTTTCCATTTTGGCTGAGCACCAGATCCCCCAAAATTAGATACTATCACAACAGCATAATGCAAATTACTTTCTCTGCATATGGCAGAGGTCAATGCAGGCCACCCCCCTAGCTCAGCTCACAGTACTCACCTACTTCCCACAATTCTCAGTCATTCCTCCTCAAGCCACTCCTCCCCCACTGAAAAAAACCTGGGTGCCACCCTGGGTCGGCCTCTTTGTTCCAGAAAGCCATGTAAGGCTGGACTTAGGGCCCCTTGGCTCCCCGATAATTATAAACATGTTTTAGTGTCTTTAGTTTCACCATGGGTTGCACTGGGAGCGGTAGGTTGGAATTAACTTGATGAGATTCCAATAACATATCTTTGGGATTATAAATATTGACTTCTTGGACTGAGATGAGAACCTGGAGGGGATTCCTACAGGTTTTGTTCATGAAGTCTCTACCTATACCCTTATCTTCAAGATTTCTACCTATTTTCTCTTCCAGTAAATTTAGTGTTTCTCAAAGTTTTCATATTTAGATCTTTGATCCACTCTGACTTTAGTGCATGGTGACAGACATGGTCCAGTTTTAGTCTTCAGCATGTGGAGAGCCAGTTTTTCCAGCACCATTTATTAAGAGGTCATCTTTCTCTTAAAAATTTTTTTGGTACGACTCACACTTCGGACCTCAGGCGTACCAGGCAGGCACTGTGTCCCTGAGCTCCATCCTCAGCAAAGTGGCTGCCTTTCTCCCAGTGAATGCGTTTGGCTCCTTCGTCAAAGATAAGGTGGCTGAGCATGTAGCTCTGCCTTGTACAGTCAGCGAGCGAGTTTGAGTCTTTCTTTTTTCCTGTCTATTTAATGCTACTTTTCACATTGCTCTTATGCTTCCTGTTGGTGACCCCTGTGGCTTGACGTGGTTCCCAAGCAGGGCTGAGGCCATCTAAAATTTGTGGGCACAAGCTGTGAAGTGCTCTCTGGAGAAAATGAGACTGCTACAGAAGCTTCATGCAGACCTAAGTTACAGTGCTACACACGGTTGCGGTGTGTGTGCGTGTGCGTGTGCATGTGTGTAGTACTAGGGACTGAACCTAGCACCTTAACATTTAGCTATATTCCCACCCAGCCCTCCCTGCTTTCATTTTTTATTTTGAAACAGGGTCTCACTAAATTGCTAAATTCCCTGTCATTGGCTGGATCCCGTAATCTTGCTACCTCAGCCTCTCACGGGGCTGAGATTACAGGCATGCGCCGCCTCACTGCCTGTGAGTGACAAGGGATCAGTAATACATATTGGATGAAGTATCTTAAATATACACACATACAACTTGCTTATATATTGACTGGCTGATAAAAACACTACAGTGAGAGCCTCATAAGAATCTTATCCTATATTCCTTCAGGAGAAATTATTCACTATTCACTAATTCATATTTACAGTGACTTTGCAGAACATAACTATCATAAACAAAATTAGTTACACATATCCATATAAAGATACACATAATGCAATTTATCCCCTGCTCAATTTAAAAATTCTAGAACAAGGAGCAAAATGTGGATTTCTATGCACAAAAATAATAAAATATATTTATATATTTACCATAAAGTCTAAGCATATTTATATCACATCTGAAGAAAATATAAAACACAAACATTTAAACTTTGGTTTATAATATAGTCAAGCAGTGATTTACTTTGACCAATCTTGTTATTCTGATCCCACTATTTTTTCTTAAGAGACCTCATCAGATTCTAAGAAATAAAGGAAAATGAAGAACGGGCAAAGCGACAGACCAGGATGGAAAGCACCTGGAAACCATGGTGCATGAGTTACAGGGAAAGACTACAGGATATTTACCCTGCAAAGAAAGAACTGCCTCTTCAAATACTCAAAGGTGTCCCACAGAGGAGGAGCCCATCCTGTCCCGGGCCCAACAGCTACCATGTATTAGCCCCGGGCCTGCGCCAGCGCTACCTCGTAGCTCTGACGAGCACAGGAAGATGCCAGGGCAGCAGCTTTCCTCAGGGCACACACTGAGGCAGTGGCTGGTCTACAAGGCACACCTCAGCCTTCCCAGTACAGAAGATGGTGCGTTTCCCATAACTTACATTGGCATTCAGCGTCCACAGCCAATGAAAGAGAGCCGACTCACTCCCTGGGCAAACCAGGACTAGGGGGCAGACTTCACCTTCTTGGAGAAGAGCGGTGAACTCCGGCTGACTAACAGAAGGGGCTGCCTGCTCAAGCAGCAGGCTCCCCATCCCAGCAGCTACTCTTCCTGACAGACCCATCCCTGAGCACACTGCAGAGGGCAGTGTATGCACACGAGCAGGAAAAATGCAGGTCACAGACGCCTGCAGCAGGTGGGCACTCACGACATACCGCGCAGAGCTTGTCATAGCCAAGCAGAAGGTGTCATCAAAACTGCTCAACTCATAGGGCCGGAAGAATTCATTGTGGATGTCAATCTCTTCTTCATATCTGTGGAATTTCTTCACTATTAACTTCTTTAGGTTCGCAGCACAGATAACTAAGGGAGAGACTGCCTGTTACCCAAAGTCTTGAGATGGCATGCTGCTGACATTTCTGTAATACCAAGTGTGCCCACAGAGAGCGCTAGAAACCTTATGCTACTGTACATTACACTAGAGGGTATTCCTTTAATAAAATTATTCCTAGGGCTGGGCCAGATAGCTCCGTGGATTAAAGCACCTGTTGCTGACACAGGGGCCTGCTGTGTCGGCCCCACCCCTAAGCCATGCTGAGACAGAGATTGAGACTGGGTGTGGTGGCATGTGCCTGTAATCCCAGCTTGTGGCAGGCTGTAAACAGGCGGATCACTATGAGTCTGATCTACATCATGAGACCCTGTAGACCCCGTACTAAAGTAAAAAAAAACAAAACAAAAAAACAAAAAACACCCACATAAAATTCTTCCTGTTTCTTTGACAAATAAAATTTAATTTAAATGTGACTAAAATGTATTATTGTTATTTTGTATTTATTTATTTTATTATTTGTCTTTTTGAGACAGGGTCTCACTATGCAGGTTAGCCCGTCTGAGCTTACTTTGTAGCCCAGGCTGGTTTTGAACTTACAACGATACTCCTGCTTCAGCTTCCTGAGTGCCCTGGATTACAGGAGTGAGCCACCGCGCCTGGCTAAAACGTACCGTTTTATACACATTAGTATCTTTCATCGTTGTTTAGACACAGGGAGAAAACGGCTTGATTTACCCGTGACTGGGTCCTCACTTCCTCCCTTTCCCCAGAACATGCAGGAATATGATCAGCCCTAGTTCAAAATGATGACGTCGCCCATCACGCTGATGGAGTACCTGGCACATGACAAGCACAGGCTCGCCCAGCGCAGGCTCGCCAACACACCTTTCTCCCCATGGCGCTGATGGCTGAGAAAGCCCTGTATGCATTAAAGTAGCAGCATAGTGCGGAATGGCTAATCATTCCTCACTAAAATACGCAGATGAAGGGGGTGCTTCAAGTTCATTTGACTGCAAAGCTCGTGAGTTAAGACCTACATGTGCAGCGGCTGCCTGCCACCTTCAGCGTAAGCGAGCCGTTACCCACCTTCATCGTAAGGCAGTGGCAGGTGCTTTATCACCTCCGGTGTCCACCAGTGAGTGTAGCTGTAAGAGAAGAGCAAAGGCGAATAGCGTGACGACCCAGGAGACGCGGCCTCCTCCAACTCATCAGACACAAGGGCCTGTCTGGACTATGTGATGACGTGGCCTCCTAGTTCAAGTTCATTTTTCTCTTTTTTAAACATGTTTTGATACAGTAGTCTTCAACATGTTAATTCTTTCCCAACCCCCTTCCTGATTCAATTGCACAACAGATTTACAAAAATGCCATGAATACATCAAAGACTCACGACGCTCTGACCCTATTCTAGCTAAAAAGGGAAGGATGAAAGCCAAGTGCAGGGCGTGACTTCTGCCAGCGACTCTGCTGCCAGGTGAGCAACGAGCCCTCGCCTGCAGGCACGTGAGGTCAGGCTACTGCTCTCTGCGACAGCTTCTCAGCGGCTCAGCAAACTCACCAAGGAGAAGATCAGATAGCCCTAACCTGCAAGCAGCGCCTTTAGAGAACAAAATAGGCCCCGGGAGTGGACACCTGTGAGCAGTCCTCGCTGGAGCACACAGGTCGGGAGAAGCACAGGCAGGGAGCCGCAGCTACTGCTGCGCTGCTGAAGGCGCACCTGCTGAGGTGCGGAGGCGAAAGAATCCTCTCTGCGTTCGCTGAGAGCAACAAATTAATTCTAAGCCAAGTGCTGATGAAACAGATTTCACAGTTCATATGAGAAGTAGTATATCAGAACATGAGAGCTGGGGAGACGGCCCGGTAGAATAAGCGCTTGCCTGGCAAGTGCAAGGGCCTGAGTTCAATACCCGGTTCTGCAAAAAAAAAAAAAAAAAGAACAAGAACACACACATATAAACACCTGCCCCCCCATTTCCAAAGTAAAAAAAAAAAAAAAAAAGAGCGTATGGCCAAAAATTCCAGGAAGAGAATTTAATATAAATGAAAGGGCTTCTCAAAATAAAATGTGGATATTGCGATCCTGCATAATCTCAATTGTGAAGAATGGTGGCGTTGGGGGGGGTGGCAGCACAGGGAACGCTCTGAGAGATGGCAGGCAGAATCTGCACCGCAGACAAAGCCTGAAGGACTGTGGGGGTGCAGCGCCGTGGTAAGAGCAAAGGCCCCAAGCTCCGAAGCTCCGTTTTAGCCTGAAGTCACGCTGTCAAGCAGTGCCCCTGGGAATCCCAGTGAAAGCAGATTCCGAGGCAGCAGCGGCCACACCACAAACTCCGGGTGACGCCAAGGGACTGGCCCACAGAGCACTTTTGCAACAGCAGGTTCCGGAAAAGGGAACCAAGCTGAGAAAGGCTAAGTTGCACTGCTTGCAGAGGACCCTCTCTGGACACTGACACCCTGCTGTATGCGCCTGACGTGCCAGGAGTGCCCCAAGAGACCACCAACAGAGCACAGCGGCAGCCAGGCAGAGCGCTGTGGGCAGAGGGATGGTGAAGGCGCCAGGCCCGTGAGGGCAAGGCCTCGCGACAGCGCGCTCACTGCAACCTAAAGCCCCTTACCAATCGCAAAGTGCCCACTCTACAATTAAATCTGAATACTGAGGTTTGAGTGTAGAAAAACAACTCTGCATTAACATTTTTGTCTTAAGAGAAAAACACAGGGGCCAGGGAGCTGGCTCAGTAGAATAAGCACTTCTCTGGCAAGGGCAAGGGCCTGAGTTCAATCCCCGGTTCTGCAAAAACAAAACAAAAACAAACAACAGGCATGCCACAGGTGCACCACCACAGGGCTAGGCGTGGCTGGGGGGTGGGGGAAGCTGCTGGACTGCTCAGCAGAGACACGCGGCCAGCGTAGAGCCCCAGTGTGAGGCTTTGTTTATTTCTGTGCTGTTTCTCGCTGCTTGTTCTGGGCTCTTCTCTGTGTCTCTCTGTCACTCTCTGTTCTTGAGTCTGTACTGGTATTTCTAAGTTTTTCTTTCACGTATTCTTCATGGTTTTTCCCTTGTGCTGCCCCCTCCTTTAGTCCTCCTCCTTTGAGTTTCAGGCCTCTTTTCCCCTCCCCACTCGTTTTCTGGCCTCGCCTCTTCCCACTTCCACCTTTCATGTACATGTACACACATACGAATGAAGCGGGCTTGTCATGTGCACTACTAGAACACAAGAATGAGCCCGTGCTATAACCCGAACCACATCCCTACAGGATGGCAGAGTACTTCCTAACGGAGCTGTACTCAGAGCATCCACTTGAAACCAACTACACTCTCACAGGCTCCCTAATCTCCGAATGCACTTCTGGTCATCTGCACCACTCCTCCCACCTGCACAAATACGGTTGCAAACCCCACCGACACTAGCTCTGCACACGAGCTGTGAAAGTAACTCTAACAAGGTCCAAGCGTCTGCCTAGTCTTCACCTATGATACAGCCTCTTTCTTTTCCCCATCGTCTGTCCTTCCCCTTCCCCTCCATATTCCAGACAGAGCCCAAGTGCAGTACATTATTGTCTGTAAGGGTTACTGATAAGAGCGTAAAATTATCAACACAGTTTGTTTATCACTGATGTATGGCTAGATCTGTTGGTGCTGTCACAACCAGCAGAAATTCTTTCCTTACAACATAATGACTGGGTCCAACACAAATAGGTTGCAGAGGTAAATAATGCCTGTTGACAAATAAAGGCAACATTATATCACTGGAAAATAGAATCAAACTTTACAGATCTTCAGACCAACAATAAGCTTTATTTACTCTTTGGCCCTCAGCATAGAAAGGGGGGAAAATAGGAACATAAAACAACAAGAAAACAAAACACTTTCAAGCTCTTTCCCATATTGCAAGATGGCGGGTGAAAAAACTCAGAAGCCAGACACTAAAGAGAAGAAATCTGAAGCCCAGAAGGCTTCTGCCAGTGGTCTTGGTGAAAAGGGCAAGGTGAAGGCAAAAAAGTCCAAGAAGGGGCAGCCCCACTGCAGCCAAAATCCTGTCCTGGGTAGAGGAATTGGCAGATACTCCCGATCTGCCATGTATTCCAGAAAGGCTCTGTACAAGAGAAAGTACACAGCTGCTAAATCGAAGGTTGAGAAGAAAAAGAAGGAGAAAGTTCTTGCTACCATCACAAAACCAGTCGGTGGGGACAAGAATGGAGGTAGCTGGGTGGTTAAGCTTTGAAAAATGCCTAGATACTACCCTACTGCAGATGTGCCCCGAAAGCTCTTGAGCCACGGCAAGAAACCCTTCAGTCAGCATGTGCGGAAACTTCGAGCTAGCATCACTCCTGGCACCATCTTGATCATCCTCACCGGGCGTCACAGAGGCAAGAGAGTGGGCTTCCTGAAGCAGCTGGCCAGTGGCTTGCTACTGATGACTGGGCCTCTGAGCCTTAATCGTGTTCCTCTACAAAGAACACACCAGAAATCTGTCATTGCCATCTCTACAAAAATTGACATCAGTAAAGTGAAAATCCCCAAACACCTCACTGATGCTTACTTTAAGAAGAAGAAGCTGCGGAAGCCCAGACACCAGGAGGGCGAGATCTTCGACACCGAGAAAGAGAGATACCAGATTTCAGAGCAGCGCAAAATGGATCAGAAAGCGGTGGACTCACAGATTTTGGCAAAAATCAAAGGTGTTCCTCAGCTCCGGGGCTACCTGCGATCCGTTTTTGCTCTGACAAATGGAATTTATCCTCATAAGTTAGTGTTCTAAATTTCTTACTAAGAACCTAATTAAATACCTGATACAAAAAACAAAACAAAACAAAACAAACAAACAAACAAACAAAAAACAAACAAACAAAAAAAACACTTTCAAAGACCCTGGGCCCTCCTAAAGCAGATCCAGGGGCACCAGCGGAGAGGAAATGGAGCACCGAGTCGCCGTGCTGCATGAGAGACTGAAGGGGAGCCAAGAAGCTCTGTGAGCTCAGCATCAACATGGCCCTGAGGACAGTGTGACAGACAGACAGACCAATCAATGTGGCTATGGAAGAAAGAAATTGGAAGGGCTGACCAAAGTTATTAGAAAGATCAATGACAAATTTACCAAATCAATGTATTCCACATAATGGTATGAAACTTAAATTCCAGAAATTAGGAATTCTATTGATTAAAAGAGCAGCAGAACTAACCAAAGAGGGGCCAGGGAGATGGCGCAGTAGGATAAGTGCTTGACTGGCAAACGCAAGGAGGCAAACGCAAGGATCTGAGTTCAATCCCCGGTTCTGCCAAAAAAAAAAAAAAAAAAAAAAGGAGCTGACCAAAGTGAGGACAGAGTTTTAGACTTCCAGGACAGGATGGGAACACATGATGACACACATAGAGACCCATTAAACAGGATAAGCATGCAAAGGAAATCGATCCAGTACCTACTAGATGAAGCTAAGGAGACTCACCCAAGGCTAGCAGGAGTCAGAGAGAAATTAGAAGACAGCACACATGGAATAAAAAATCTGCTTAAAGAAATCATAGCAGAAAAGAAAAACAAGTATAGAAAAGAAGTCTATGTGAAGCTTATAAAACACAAAATAATTACAACGAGAAAAGAAGCTCTCCAAGAGACATCATAATAAAAAATCTCAGCAGTCCACTAGAAGGACAGAATCTTAAAAGCTGTCAGAAAAAAGAAAACATTATTTACAAAGGTAAGCACATTAGGATTACAGCAGACTTTCAACACAAACTTTAAAGGCCAACAGAGTGTGAAGAATTTCAACCACTAAAAGAAAACAACTTTCAATTCAGACTAATATATCCTGTAAAGCTATCTTTCAAAATTGATTTTAAAAAAGGATATTTCATGAAAAATGACAACTTAGGAAGTTCATGAACAGCAAACCAGCACTGAACACAAAGCAAAACTCAAGAGTACCCTCCAGTGAAGCTAACAAGCCGAAAACGTCTGACAGAATGAGCAGACCAAGCAAAGTGAGGGGTTAAACAGAGAGAAACACAGCAGCACAAGAACAGAGCGTCAGGCTGGGGAGAGAGCTGGCAGTCTAGGCGTCTGCCTGGCCAGCACAGGGGCCCAGAACTGCACGCCGCTCTCGCCCTGGAACCCAGGGAGTGTTGACCAGAAACGCGGCGTGACAGGCG